TTGTACTTACGCACAATCTACTTGTAATCTTGAATTTTAAGTAACATGCATTAATAAACAGTATTTTATGCATAAAAAGTGATTTTTAAGAGTTTTTGTAAAATATTTTATAATACTAGAAGAGTACTCGCGCAATGCAGCGAGATATATTTTCATCTTAATGTTTGATTTTTATTATTTGTCTCTATCGATATAAGACGAATTTATGTGATTTTGAGAAAACGATAATGTTTTTATTTTGAATGAAATATAAATTTGAAGATAACATACAAATTTAATATGAATCAATCCCTTTGATAAATTGCGGATGACAAATTGCACCAAAAACATATTAGTTTGGTTTTATGCAGGAACAATTATAAAACCAAAGATGGTGGTTATAAAGAACCCTAACCCAAATTACAAGGGACAATGGATAAAGTACACAACATGGATAAAAATGGAGTGATTCCAGTAGAGGGGTCAATTAGCTCAATTCCAAAAGAGGAGCGATTCAAGTAAATGGACGATTGATTAAGAGTAGAGAAGTAGTGATCGATAGAACGAATGGAGAACTAACCATGATAAGCAATGAATCGCTACCTAAAATGGAGCGATTTCAGAAGAGGAGAGATTCAAGTAAGTGGGAGGTTGATTGAAAGTAGAGATTGATAGAAGAATAGAGAACTAACCTTGATGAAGTGATCAAGAACGTGCGTCGTTGCCTTGCCTTGGGAGAAAGAATCAATGTCTTTGGGAGCCGGGAGTATAGATTCAACAATTTTAAGACTTTATGCATAATATTGTAGTATCCTATGCATTAATATTTGTTTTTTAGACTTTATGTATTAAAAGATAGTACCAAATGCATTAGATATTGTTTTTAAGACTTTTATTAAATCTCATTAATAAGGTAGTATTATAGATATATCCAAGCAAACTTTCTAAATAAATTAACTTATAGTTATGAACTATAAGATACAGAAATTTATGGAGATTAGTTTTAAAAAAGGTAAATCTTGTTGAAATACAAATAAACTTGTTTGTGAGTTATCTATATAACCAATGAATGGATCTCCTCCACCCCTCATCTTAAACATGAAACTGGATGTTATTTCTCTCATTTTGTTATTCCCCATCTTTATCTTCATCTTCATCTACTGTTTCTTCTTCCCAAAATCCAAATCTACCACTCAAATCGGGTTCAAAAATTACCCAATACTAGGAACCCTACCGGAATTTCTCCTAAATCGCCACCGTTTTCTTGAATGGAGCACACAAGTCCTCTCTCACTGTCCAACCAACACCGCCGTCTTCCGCCGTCCTGGAAATATCCACGGCATCATCACTGCAAACCCTGCAAATGTCGAATATATGCTCAAGACCAACTTTGATAACTACCCAAAGGGAACCCGCTTCATTTCTCTCCTTCAAGACTTCCTCGGCCGTGGCATCTTCAACTCCGACGGCGAAGCCTGGAGGGCACAGCGTAAAACCGCTAGTTACGAGTTCAATACCAGATCACTCCGGAACTTCGTCATGGAAACCGCCACCGTCGAATTACACACCCGATTCATACCGATTCTTGAAACTGCTGCGGATTTGGACCAGGTTATTGATTTTCAGGAGCTTCTCGAGAGATACTCTTTTGATAATATATGTAAGGTGGCATTCAACGTCGACCCCGGTTGTCTAGCCGGTGACGGAAATTCCGGTAGTGAATTCATGGCAGCTTTTGAGGATGCAGCGACGCTAAGTTCCGGGAGATTTATGTATGCTTTTCCAGGCCTTTACAAAATCAAGAAACTGTTCAATTTTGGTTCAGAATCCAAGTTGCAAAAATCGATTTCCACCGTTCATAAGTTCGCCGGCCACATCATAGCTTCCAGAATGGAGGGAAGGGCCAAAAACCCCGACGAGGATTTGTTATCCCGATTCATGGGCATATCGGAATATTCACCGGAGTTTCTACGGGACGTTGTCATAAGTTTTATATTAGCAGGTCGTGATACGACATCTTCAGCTCTTGCATGGTTCTTCTGGATTTTATCTTCACATCCCAAAGTGGAGCAAAAAATACTCGACGAATTGAAAACAATCCGGCTTAGCTCCGGCAAGGATCGCCGAGAATTTTACTCTTTCGACGAGCTCCGACAGATGCATTACCTTCATGCCGCAATCTCGGAGGGATTAAGGTTATACCCGCCGGTGCCGGTGGACACAAAGGCCTGCCTGAAAAACGACGTGATGCCAGACGGGACGTTTGTCGGGGAAGGTTGGTTCGTGACTTATCACACATACGCAATGGGGAGAATGGAGAGCGTTTGGGGGGCTGATTGCCGTGAGTTTAGGCCGGAGAGGTGGTTGGAGGAAGAGGAGAGCGGCGGAGGAAAGGTGGTGTATAGACCGGAAAACCCATTTAAATTCCCAGTGTTTCATGGTGGACCGAGAATTTGCTTAGGGAAAGAAATGGCGTATACTCAAATGAAGCTGGTGGCAGCGGCAATTATTGAGAAATTTAAGGTGGAGGTGGTGGTAACGGCGGAGGAGAAGAATCCGCCGGAGCACGTATTGTCGTTGACGATGAGGATGAAAGATGGTTTGAGGGTGAGGGTGAGGAAAAGATGAAGTGGGGGCCATATACTCTTTATTGGATTCCAAATGAATCTAATCCCACAACCAATAATATCAAATATGTATGTATATATTTTTAGAGTTTTGATTTAATCTAAATTCAAATAAATTAATGGTACTAAAAAGAGTACTTGTGCAATGCAGTGAGATACATTTCGATTTTAATATTTTATTTTATTAAACTATTTTTGTCAATGTTAATAATACGATTTTATGTGTTTTTAAGAAAACAATAATGATTTTATTTTTAAATAAAATATAAATTTAAAGATATCATACAAATTTAGAAAAATATAATATTAATGTTAATATAAAATCAACTATTTAAAAGTTTTTAATTTTTATGTAATTTATTTGTTTTTATTATAATTTAATTTAAGTTTAATGATGAAATAATTTATTTTTGGTTTAATAATATAATATTTTATAAAAATAATAATTAAGTATTCTGTTATAACTTAATGATTATCCTAATTATATTTKAGATTTTTTAYATYTAAAATGAGATGTTTATCATGTATTTKATTATGWTTATCTGCAGKTAGTTACACGAATTCATATATGAATCTTTAATAATTTGTATTTACGCACAATCTACTTGTATTCTTAAGTTTTAAGTAACATACATTAATAAATAATATTTTATGCATAAAAAATGATTTTTAAAATCTTTTATCGAATATATTATAATATAGTATAGGTAAGTGGTTTGAAATATGTAGAGATTGCAATTTATCTGAAAATTGTATTTCACATCTAATTTCCTATGAATCTGATAATTCTAGTGTAACCTATGTGTACTTTCAAAATTCATCTCTACCGAAAACAACTCTCAATGACAATTGTCCTTATCTATACTATATTATAAAACATCTAACAAAAATTCTTAAAAACCATTTTTATACATAAAGTACTGTTTATTAATGCATATTACTTAAAATTCAAGATTACAAATATATTGTGTATAAGTATAATTTATTAAACCAAAAATAAATTGATTCACTATTAGACCTAAATTAAATTATAATGAAAAACTAAATCAAAGAAATTACACAAAAAAGAGCGTTTTTAAATAGTTAATTTGATATTAATATCGATATATTTTTTCAAAATTTTAATTACAATATATTTAAATTTATATTATATCAATAGATAAAGAATAAAATGAAACAATAAAATCGAGATTTATCTCGCTGCATTGTACAGCGTGATTCATCAAGATAATGTTTCGTTTTATTTTTTGTTTATGTTGATATAATACGGTTTTATGTGATTTTGAAAAAGCAATAATATTTTTATTCATAAATATCTGGAAAAAAAATATATCGATATTTATATCAAATTAAGTATTTATATGAAAAAAAAACACATTTATATGAAACCAGAATGAGCTCATATGAAAGTCACCTTTACAAATTAATCATCTAGTGTTATTTTAAAAGTTCACAAGGCAGTGTCATGGTCATTTAAAGGTTATTGAGTAAAAAAATAAATAAAAAATCTCATTTAAAGTAATTTAACTATAATCTAAAAAAACATTCTCAAGGGCCCTAAAATTAATCCAGGTGCATATAAGCTGATCAAGACACCCGTTATTAACAATAAAGAAAATGAACATCTTCATGGAGAAATGGCACATAAATTCAATCATTTGAACAAGAACCTCCAGTTTTAGTTTCTGTACTCTCTCTCTATCTTCTATAAGGAATTTTGATCATATACTAAAAATGGTCGATTAATTTCTCCTTCACCAAAAGGGTATCACTAGATTGTGTTCTTCATGCCATTCTTGAACACAAAATGCATTGGGGATCGCTCGACTGTTTTTCATGTGTGCCATGCTGCAAGCATTCAGTATGGTATGCATGGCCACACGGCAGAATATCAACAGCGGGAAGAAGAGGAGGCGTGAGGTCATCATAATATTCGTACTCACCATCATCATCATCATCCTCATATTCGAAATCATCATTAAGTTCAGAGTCGTCATCTTCTGTTGCACCGGAAAGATCCTTATTGCATAATATACAGTTTTGCCCAAACGGCCCATTTTCCATATCACCTACAATTTTAAAGACATGGTTACGGTCACAAGAACCTACATAAAACAAAGGTCTAGAAACCTTTATGCTTATGGGAGATGCTTCTAGAAATTCTAGTCAACGCTTAATGCTACTCTCTGACCATTAGTGATTCAAGGAAAGTTCAAATGAGAACCAAATATATTTTGAGAAGCTGTGAACCAACTATTTCATATATTATTCATGATGAATAACTCTAAATAACAACAATATCATGTATTTTCATTATAAATAATCATATGAATAGTTGCTTCCCATGTTCTTAAAATATTTATGGTTCTCATTTGAACCTGCCCCTGGTTATTCATATGTGATTAACAACAAATATTTCAAATTTGCACCATATGTGCAACTATCGAACAATGGCTATAATTCATGGTTTTAATCTGTCAGCTTATTACTACTCATTCATATAACAAAAAAAGTTCTTCTAGTACTTCTATGGTAATCTTGCAGGCCACCATATACCCTGATATTTAAATCCAAATACAGCTGAAGTTTCAAGCAAAAAGCATGGCAAGAAAAGATCATAGAGATATTTTGGACATACCTTCCCATCTGATATGAAAAATTGGCTCACGGAAGTATGGTTCGTATTGACTAGAGGAAGGTTGGTTCTTGTCATGGCCAGCCAGGGATGTAGTTAAAGGTTTTGTAGTTCCAATCTTTTTAATGGGAGGTGCAGAACTTTTTGGAGAGCTAGTTTTCTGGAGTTCTGTTTTCAGAATTCCCTTCTTTTGTAGAGCAACTGAAGAATCTTTAGAACTATCCCTTTTTGGGGTTTTCCTCTTTTGGATTGTAGAAGCATTTTCGCCTTCAGTTTTCCGAACTTTACTCCTCAGATTATAAGCTGGAGGATCCTTAGCACCTTCTGATTTCTGATCTCTACTTCTCAAATTATAAGCCGAAGCGACCTTCGGGGCTGCACCTGCAGTTTTCTGGATTTTTCTTTTCATGACAGGTACTGGCTGAAGTTTGCTCACTTGTGTTGGATTACTCTGATGAGATTTATCCGATTGCTCTCCCAGGCCTGCAAAAGTTATCTACTAGCACTTAGCAAAAAGTAGGAAAATAGTAAGCTGGAGATTCAAATTTTTCTATAATTCAACTCCAATCAATGGGTAATTTTGCAATTTTTAAACTTCTCCTGACCCTTGCAACCCAATATAGCAACCATTGCCAAAAAAATCAGTGCAATAAATCATGAAGAAACTAACCAAGAAAGAATAAAACCAGGCCTTTCTTCAGACTTCATCAACATTAACTGCATATAACAGCCAAATCCTATGGAATTACAACGACAACTAAGTGATTTTGATGATAACATTTTCTCAATGCCTGACAACTTGGATATGAAATTTATATAGGCCCTAAGGAACAGTATGTTGGCACCCATGGAAGGCCTGAGAAAGCAGTAACTGACAAGCAACTTCATATAGTGAAGTCCTTTTTCCCAACTTTTCAGACATTATTTGACGCAATAAGTTCATACTGATAGAGTAATCATTGTGATTATTTGTCTTATGTTGACAAGACGTCATAATTGAACATGTTCAACTTCCAAGATAAGAGTTATCTTAGATAATGCATACGTACAAATATCTGCAATGGGAAAAGGGGGGGGGGGGGGTGTTTGAAAATTGATGTTCCTTACCTACTTGTTTTTCGCTGTTAGTGCCTCTTGCAGCTCCAAGTTTAAGAGAAGCCGCCGCAGATCTCTTCTTACTTGTCCTTGAGTCATCCTTGCAATCATGCTGATCTTGACAAAACCCTTCTGCAGATTTCTTCATGGTAGCAGTACGTGAAGAACACACTGCAGGGATAGTGACGTTATTATTCTTAGATGTGCTATCCTGGCTTGTACTGTTGTACAAGAAGGTTTTGAAATCGAACCACCAATGCAAGATAGAGGTCATCTACAAGACAAATTGCATGTTCTTTTGTTTGAAGTGTATATAATATACTGCGAGTATATGAGGTTTGAACCCTTGACCTTCATGGAGGTTGGGATCTTACCTCTAACCCGGATACTGCTGGATCAAAAGACCCTTTGGTCACATTGCATGTTCTTGTGATAAATCATTTGACCTTGTTGGTTTTAGACAAACTAGCCTAACTCTAGCTAGGGCGTCTGATAGGAACATAAAACATGCTTATAAGACAAAAGGATTACAATGTAGTGCTTTCATCAGAAATCATTCTAATGGTGTTATATAACGCTAAAGATGTTTTGAGCTCATTCTTGGTACACAAATCAGCCTGCCTCAACCTAGAGGCTTTAGATGAAGCTAAATAAAATCTTCATTTGCAGTACTAGATCCTTCTTTAGAAGTCTCTTTTAGATTTTTATGTTTTTAAATTGATGTTGCAGTTCTCTGTTTTAATGCCCAAATGTGGTTTGACATGGCTAGAATCCCTAGGGTATATAAAACGAATAAAATTCCAACATAACTGCTACTCGATGCTACAAATGAAGATGTTTAGACTTATACAAAGAGATACCCAACACAAATAGAGCTGTCTGATGTTTACAAATTTATTTTACATTTTCACTAGGTACATATGATATCCTCATAGCCACTCACTGAATTCAACAAACTAGAAATATGATGAGATATTGCTGCTATCTAGGTACTGTTTGTTTAGGTTATTTTCCACAATTCTCCATCCTCCATTTTCACGTTCCCCATCTTTATTGTCCTTACATCCAGATAGATGAGAGTAAACTAATGAGCTTGGATATTCATGAACTCTATCAAAGAGATATCTATCAGAACAATACCCTTACCAATCAGCAGTGTTATCTGGTAAGCTTAACAATTATATAGCAAACCTCAATCTTAAGCTCATTCAGACTCTCATGCACTCAGCCCAACTTGACCTTGTATAGGGTTTATTATTGATTTGAATTATTAGGAGAACTTGTGATCTAAGTTTGCAATTGGGATTTCATTTGGTGCTTGATACAAATCATCTTCAAAGAAAATCGTCATATTTTGTACTTCTATAAAATAAAATAAAAGATGTTCATTAAGCGATGCTGAAAATTCTTGCAAACCCTAGCTGGTATTCTCCTCTTGCGTGATACAGACAAATTATTGAATCATATACGCCATTCTCTCTAGATTAAGTTTCAAATGACTGTTTATCAAACAAAATCCTCAAAAACCCTAGACACGAAGAGAACTATCGACAAATTTAAAAAACAAAACCTAATTTTTCAATCCCAGATAAATATGAAATCCGTACATCAATTTATAACGATCAATGTGAAACCACTCACCGGAGAGAATCAAAATTGAATATCGATGAAGAAGGGTTCATAAGGAAAACATCAGCGGATCGACGGAGGGATATTCGTAACTAGTTTCGCGAAAGAAATTGGTCGGGAGAGTTCAAGACTGAGCGAGAAGGAGAGAGGTTTTTAGGGCTTTGATGGTATTTATAGGTTTCGCTTCTGTAGGCCCGGCCCGGCCCGATATAATCCATTCAATTTTCAAACAACAATCATTTAGGCCCAACAACAAATACAAATTTATTTATTTATTTTCTTCTTCGTAATCATTTTACAAACTTTTTTAGTATTTTCATTCTAAATATTTTATCAAATAATATATATATAAATAACAAATTATATTGTATCATAAAAACGAGCGTTATTTTAATGATTTTGCAAGTAATTAGACAAAATTTTCTTCTAACAGCATTTGTAAATGCACTTAAAATCACAACACATGAAAAGGGTTTACGCCATCCTCGAGATCGGTCTCACAAGGTTTACGCCATCCTCGAGATCGGTCCCATGGTCATCTAGAGAAGGCATATGATGGTATCCTCGAGATCGGTCCCACAACGTATACGCCATCCTCGAGATCCGTCCGACGGTCATCTAGGATAGGTTGAGTAGGAGCAGATTTAAATCGAGACCTTGTGGAAATCATACCCTTTATTCAGCAAAAACTACAGATTCGTTGTTCCCAACTCATTTGCGCATGAATACATATATATATATATATATACACAGATATATACAGATATCAAGGGATAAATATATATACAGAGTTCTTTATATAAAGAGAGAATTTATATACAAATCAGAGGAAGGAAGAACATTTTCAATTAACTGTCAAGTATGCATGTACACTTGACTCCAGCGGCTTTTTCGTTTCTTCCATCATATCTTACCGAATGTTTTAGATCAGGAAGCAGCGGCAGCAGGTGGCCGGTGAATGGCGGTATCCGGCAACATAGCTATAGTAACCACAAAAAATTCGCACCCAACCACTAAACCATATGGGTTTGCATCACTTGAACCTGAGCTCAAGGCTGATTGGGTCGAGTCACTGTTATGCTCGGCTTCAACCGGTGATGGTTTCACGGTTTGTCGCTCAATATGCACAATCTGGCCCACAATGTAGGTGGGATGGTGCGGCAGATTGTCGGTATACAATGCAGCTGACTCTGGAGACAGGTAGTAATGACCGCAGTTTCGGTTGATTGCCGCATAATGTCCAGCTGTGTTGGGCACGAATGCAGCAATCTCGTGAAGTTCTATACGGCCAAAAGATATCTTCTCCTTGTTTGCCTGTTTGTGGATCATCAAATTTGTATTTTTTATCAGTCAAATTTCTAAGTTAGAGGTGGTTTTATCTGTAATACTGCACTGTGGTCGTGACTGATTACCAAACCAAACAAACCCGATACATCCCACTAAAAGGCAGAGTCCAGGGAGGGTAAGATGTACACAGATCTAACGTCTACAACGAAGTGTAGAGTGGTTGTTTCCAGCTTATGGGAAGTACAACAAATCATGGAAACTACACACCTGTAGGCCGTAGTCTAACTTACTAACCCTGCCTCCCACCCTTGGTTGTGACCGAGTCTTCACAAATCTGACAGGGCCCAACCAATCTGGCTCTTTCTAGGCCCTATTCCGAGCCGGTCCTTGGTTGTTGGGCCTTTTATCTACAAATACAATTATTATTGCTTCAAAAGCTAACCTGTTTTTCAGATTGATGCTTCATGTACAAAGTGTTGATCAACTCTTTCTTGTCATCCAACTCCTTGGTAAGCTGTTCATAGGAAGCCTCGGCCTTTGAGTACTGGTCAATCAGCTCAGCACGATGCCTTGCCAAAATGCCGACTTTCTTAGCGAGCACCCGAACACATTCACGAAACTCAGCGGTACCATCATCACCATTATCGTTAGCAGAACTGAGAATTAGAACATCACATGATCTTTTAACTCATCATCTATATTTTTCTTAAAGTATATAATATTTATATATGGAAAATACTCACACGTACTCCTCAATCTTGATGAGACTTGAACGGTTGAACCCATGACCTCCAGGAAGGTTGGGTTACCGGGTACCACTTGGTCAATGGCCCTTCAGTCTCATGCTGATAATCTATATTACCATGAACAACAGTGATCGCAAAGAGCGGTTTCATATACAAAAGAAATCAACTTTATGCCTATATTACCACTTGACTAAAATTTACAAGAAAGTGTTGAATCAGTGAGTGTCCCATAACATCTTTTTAGTAGTTCCCTCTTAATTTTACGAGCCGGGATCTTCACGAACCAGTTATCATATACTCCCTCCGTTCCAAAATAAATGTCCACAACGAAAAACGCAGTCTTAGGAATATGTAATTATTACACTTCTTAATTAACTAAAGGACAATTTTACTCTAATAAAGAGAGAATTTTTCTCCGTCTCATATTAAGCAAGGGGACGTAGCCCCCTTGTAGCGCTTTATGGCGATCTCCAGATTAAGTTAGTTTATATGAGCGTACAATCTGCACCTCCTAACTCTATTATAACTTAACTAAAACCACATCGATCTCGTGTAGATCACAAATACACCAAAAATGATTGATGACACAAAAATCACCAACAAGAGGTGGTTTTATATACTGGATTCATTTGGTTTGGTTTGTTTTAGTTGAAAATTAAATGTAAAAAATTGATGACTTACTTTGCAAGAGATTGAGCTAAAGAATGCAATGAGTCAGCAAAACCAGCTATGCCACCTGAGGAAACACAGGCTTTAAGCCGTTCAAAAAGGCTGCGTACTCTTAACGTGGAGCCACGCAATACGTTGTACTCGGATGCTCTTCGATCAGCCGCACAAAGATGGGTTTGAGCCTCTTCCCGTGCTTCATGAAGACAATTCTCCAAATGAGCACAATTCATCTGTACATGATTGATGGGTTACGAAGTTTAGCTTAAAAAGCAAACCGAAATCGGAACTACATTCAGATAAAACCAACATTACCTGACACTCGTCTACCAGATTCCGACTAATTTCCAACTCCCGAGAAATCTTTGCTACCTCCTCCATGGCAGCTTCAAGTTTATCGTCTGCTTCATTAAGCTGGTTCGACTTTTCTTTAAGTATGTTCTGCAACTCCACCACAAGATCGTCATTACTCTGCCCAACTCCATCACAAGTTTTCGGAAGTTGTAACATGTTATCAGCTGTCGAACTATTAGCCAATCGCATCCCTACATCTGGCGCTATTTCCTCTCTGTCATCTTTTTCATTCACATGTGATTCATCCCGGTTTGGTTCCTGCATTGATGAATCCAGATGAGGGTTCACCATTCCAGATGAATCAGTCATGTTATCATCAAAAGATTTGCCATTTTTATCACCACCCATTTTGGCAAGTAATGAACTGTAACCATATGAAGCCTCATCCATAGGCTCAGAAGAAGCCGAACGCATATGGGCTTCTCCATCACCCGAAATCTCCGATTTGCTATCCCCAATTTTCCCAGTTGAAAAAGAGCCATCTTTATCAGATGACCTTAGTTCGAGCTCCTTTATCCGTTTCTCATACGACTCGCACTGCATTTGTTTGGATTTTAGAATAGATTCCAATCGTTTCCCGTATTCATCTTTCAAACGTAAGGCCTCGGTCGTCTTTTCAGCACCTTTCAGCAAATTGTCCACTTTACCCTCATCTAACGATTCAAACTCCATTTCCAGAGAAAAAGAACAAAGCAGAGCTATAGCAGAAGCAAGTTCCGCTTTCAACTTTGCATTCTCGACTTCCAGCTTGTTTGTGCCTGCAATCTCTGCCAAATCAGAAGCCTCAACGAAATCGTCAGAATCTACAGAACTCTCGGACATTGAAGACAACCCTTTTCTGAAAGAAAGTCCGGCTAACTGCTCAGGGGCATAATGGTCCAAATCTGATATATCAAGATCGAGTAAATCACCATCAAACGGAGCTACATTCACATCACAGGTGCTCGGAGAATCATACAAGCCCATTAATGCTAAAATGTCTCTAGGTATATATGAACTGTGTACTCTAAGAAACTCCTCTCTTCGCCTAACTTCAGATCCCCGTTTGGATGCAAGTCTTTCGGCCAATTGTCCAGCCATTCCCATATAAAGTTTCATTGACGCCTTTCTTCTCACTATCTCGGCAAGACATGCTCTATAGGCCGGACCAATCCCACGAACCACCTTCAAATGCTCGAATTGATCATTTTGGCGATTTATTGCCTCATTGAAAAGCGAAAACTTGTACCTAACGTCTCTGATGGTGTACTGAATATATGCAATCTTTTGCATGTATCCATGAACGAAAATGTTCATTTCAGACTTCTTGTCCTTGCAGAACATAAAGAGGTTTGAAATAGCGTGCTCACATGCCTGCATTTTAGGAAGATAATTTTTGTCGTGACCCTCATACATGGGACCTAATGCTGAAACAGCATCATGAGGACGAAGGGAATTGGATAGTTGACTGGTCAAACAATCGTCCACGAGTTTCTTTACCAAACCGACATCTTTGCTGTATTAATATACATCCGAAGTCAAAAACAAGAAGACTGATACAAGAATCTTTATAACAGAAGGTTACGACTTTTGAGAAGATTACGCTCCATTATAGCATTTAGCTAATTCCATAAATATGCAAACAGCCCATCTAACCTAAGTTTCTAAATACATCAATGAAAATGGAGCAAAAACACGAAATAATACTCTGCACATTCCAAACAAGTATACTTTTACTTCAAACAACTTGCTTTTCTGCCATGGGACCAACATGAATAATACTTAGACCGGGGCAGGTTCAAATGAGAACCATAAATATTTTGAAAACATGAAAATCAACTGTTCATGTTTTATTCATGATGAATGTCGTTATAGATATTACTGAAAAAATATTCATAATGTAAATACATGATAATCATGATTATTCAGGGTTATTCATCATGAATCATCAAGTTGGTTAACCACGTATCCTTTAACAGATTTATTAATAGTCTCATTCGAATTTAACAATTGAATTTAGGTTCCAGATTCTCAAAATATTTATGGTTTTCATTTTGACTTCCCCTACTTAGACCTTAGTTATGCATTTAGAAAAACAAAATGATACATAAAACCACACATTATCCCTTTTTATTGAGAAATTCTTTAAGATGTGTCTAACCCAACTTATTCTTATTTTGCTTATATGGAAAACATTATTTATCATTATTCATGATATCATGTATTTTTATCATGGATATCATGTATTTCCATTACGAATAATTTTCATCATGACATTCATAATGAATAAAACATGAATAGTAGGTTCTCAAGTTCTCAATATCTAAGGTTCTCATTTGAAACCACCCGGGGTAGCAAAGTAGCAGGCAGCGGAGTTCAGAAAGTAGAACAAGGGAGATAAAGATTACCAACCTCAATGCTTGCATCATACTTTTCTGCTCATTTATATATTGTCGGTGCTCCTTGATGGTTCTCCCTAAATCTCTACTAATGATCGAAGCTTCGCTAGAAAACAAATCTTCAGTACTTCCCTTTAGCTCTTGAAATTCTTGCTTAAATTCTCCAACTTTACTTTCAAACTGCCTGTGGGAACTGCTGCAATCCTCCACCATTTTCCTCAAGTTTTCCTCCTTCACAAAATCCGATAAGCACTTACGATTAGCAGTCTGTAACATAGGCATAAGTTTGATAGACCTTAATCTCTCCAAATCCCTCCAAAAATTCACTAAAAGATTCGAATGTGCCCTTTGCTGATGTGAGTAACGCTTAACAAAATCTGTGTAATTATGGAGGATCATTTTAAAGATATGGTCCAAATTACCCCTGGCAATCTCCAATGCCTTCTCTTGAACTCTTTGCTCTCTTGAAAGCCTCTCACAGGTTTCGTATTTCAAAAGGGTACGCCTGTAAATGGCATCTCCAAGCTGGTAATGGTACCTAAATTGCCTTTCGTATGATGGCAATGCCTTAAGAGCAGGGTCTAAAGCTTCATCCAGCGGATGAGGATCAGTTGATGAAGATGGCCGTGTGGGGTCAGGATGGATACTTTCCGCTACTTCAACTTCCTCCGGTTGGGGTGGGGTTGAATTAGTTCGCATTTTTGCTTTATTGTACAAGAACACCTCCTTATCATCCGACGGCAGTTTGTATGCAGAAAGTGGCTGTTGTGGTTCTAATTTCATGTCCAAATACAAAAGAAGCTGATCATTTGAATGAATCCCGGAAAGCGAATCAAGATACCTTTGAACTGCTTCAACAAGTGTGTATTCATCGCAATTGAGCTCAATCGAATGCCCATTTTCGGCAATATGAACTAAAAGCTTTCCCCTTTGTATAACACCTTCTGAAACACCACTTGATTTTAAACTCATCTTCTTCACCTCTCACTCTATTCAAAGTCCAATCAAACCCAATATAGATTCAGGATGATTTCCAAATTCAATCCCACAAATAATCTGAAATCATTCTCAAGATTATAGGAATAGAGCGTGGGGAAAGAAGACCAATATGCCTTCGTCCAATCGGGTAACATCCAGCTATCTTATGCGCATCATGAAATCTGCAAAGAAATTAGTTGAAACCTTAATAAAGCCCTAAAGAAATCAACACCCATCAACAAAATCTCCAAAAAAGAAAGAACATATATTCCAATAAAACCCTAACACTCACCAATTGATCTTAAACAAGAAAAACCCACCAAGATTCGGTCGACAGAACCCTAATTACTTCGTCGAAATTAAACTGAAATCCTCCAAATTGTGAAGAACCACACTGATTTTAGTGAAATGAACAAATACCCACAAAAAAAAAAACAAGAAGTAAGTAAATGGCGTATATTATATACACTAGATTCCGACGATGGATTCAATGAAATAACACTACAATAGAGAGTGAATGAAAGAACAGCCAAAATCGATAACGTGGAAGAAAAGGAGAAAACAGAAGAAAAGGAATTGCTTGGAATTTGGCCAAGAAAACATATGTTCATCACGAAACACGTTCTTTAATAATATCTTATAGATTGTATGAATAAAATAACGAAATTGTGTGATCATTCTTCTTATTCGGAAGAAATTATTATTAAATTTAGATGGGTGGCAGATAGTCAGACAGATAAGAACCTTCTGAGAAGAGTAGTAACCCACACACAGAAAAAGTTCGATCCTTTTTTATCTGTTCTGTTCTTCCCTACACCCCCACAATCAAGTTTTGGAAGAACAGAATTTCACTCCACCAGCCTCGATACTTGATACTTTATATACTTATGCGTAATCTGTATGTATGTATGTGCAAATTCAACCACCCTAACTAGTAACTTCAATTCTTGTATGGAAGGGAATTGAATCAAGTTGCGTAATCTTGTGGGGTTTGGTTGATGATCACCCTTTTTCAATCAAGATCGTTAAAGTTTTCTTTGGACTTGAAAATTAATGTCGTGTTTCTATAAAGATGTTGTAGTTATGTTTCATTTGGTAATATTTTTGGTTTCTACTCGAAGAAAATAAATAAATCATATGAAAAGAAGTTAAAATAGTTCAAACGAACAAAATATATACCAGTCAGATGTTAAAATAGTTCAAACGAACAAAATATGTATCGTTCAGATGTAAAGTTGAAAGATGGAATTTATACACACTTGTTCTCTACTTCTAGAAGATAGAAAATTTATTTGCATCGAATGATAACGTGACAAGAAGTCCAACCCAACATGCAAACTTAGATGATCTTTATATTTGCATCATGTAATCTCGTTAGAATACCTCCAAGTTGTGTTTTCGATTTGCATGTTACGACACCTTCATTTTATGGGTCAAAATCATCTTCGTTAGTGAAAAACTTGACTGAATTAACTTTAAAATGGTAAATCGTCAAAGTGTTGACCTTTTAACACACCAAAGTTCCATAAATCTACATCACACAGTAACAATAACGAAGTGCTTTTTGAACATAATACGTGAAATACTACACAAAAGTTTTCAAGATCCTCTTTTCGGAGCGATTGTATTTTTATGGTAAATGGTAAAAAATTTACATTTTAAGGATATATATTGATTTGTTTCGTTGACTTCTTCTTTTGCTAAAAAAACATAAACTGTATTTTATTTTGTGTATGTTTATATTACTTAAAGTTCAAAGTAAGTTTGCGTAAGTACAACTTATTAAAGATTCATTTTTAAATTTGTGTAACTAACTGAAAATAAGCATAATAAAATACAGGATAAACATTCATTTTAAATATAGAAAATTTAAAATATAATTAAGATAATCATTGAGTTTTAATATAATATTTAATTATTATCTTTATAAAAAAATTATATTAAATCAAAAATAAATTACTTTGTTATTAAATGTAAATTAAGTTATAATAAAAGAAGTTATACCAAAAAGCGAGAACTATTAAATAGTTAAGTTGATACTAATATCGATTTATTTTTTTCAAAGTTATATTTCATTCAAAAATAAAAACATTATCGTTTTCTCAAAATCACATAAAATCGTATTGTATCGATAGAGACAAAGAATAAAAACTAAATATTAAAATCGAGATTTATCTCACTGCATTATGCGAGTACCCTTATAGTATATATATATATATATATATATAATATGTTACATGTTGACTTATTAAAATATGTCCATGACGTGTTTGAGTGTTTGACATATAAAAATATTCTAGTATCTTTTTTTGTATTTGATTTTATTCTCGTTGATGAAAAGCATTTATTGTAGTTTTTTATCGTAATTATTAGATCCCTGTTTTTACAATACTATGATCTTATAAAATGTCACAATCAGAATTGACAATACTTCCCTCATCTTCAATTTTGACCATATAATTTTCATTAAATCGCTTGGCCTATGTTAAATTCATTGTCGTATGTGTGTGTGTGTGTATATATATATATATATATATATATATATCAAAGCTATAAGAAAATCACAAATATAGTAATAAAAAATCTTTTTTTAAGCTGATTTGATACTTACTGATTTTTTTCTTAAATTATAAATGAACAGCTTCATATATGAAATTCAGATAAAAATCTTAGATTTATGAACATGAATTGATGGAGAAGATGGAAAAAAATAACAAGAATATGAAAGAAGGAGTAATGTTGTCCCTTTCAAAATGGTTGTGTGTTAGCATGTCATGAATTTATCAAAAATAGAATTATTGGATTGAAAGGGATATCTTTTCGGTCAAGGAATATCTTCAAGTGCACAAGTGGTACTTTCGATTTCTTGCATCATTTCTATTGGTTTATGTTATGTATGGACTTACAATAATGAAAAAGATATGTGTACAAAACAGTTTAAAAATCATAAAATTAAGGGTGTTTTATACAAATTAATGAAATTAGTGTCTATCTCCTGGTTACATTTTGACTAATTTGGTTGTACTGCTTTTATTTAATGAGTTTTTATAGGTCAAAATAACTAATTTATTTATAAGGATGCATTTGGTACGAGACAGGACAGGATGAGATAAAACCACTGTCCATGTTTGGCGCAGCATGTAACAGAACAAGAACTCACTGTCTCACGTTTGGGGCTACATGGAACAGAGACAAGAAATGGGTCAGAGTGAGACAACATGGGACAAAAGAGGTTTTTTCTTGTTCCACCAAAATAGGTGGAACAAGATAGGACTAGAATAGAACAAAAACTAAAATATTACTAATCTACCTTAGTTTGATATATAACTTTAATATAATATTTGTTTTAATGGTCATCACCGCTAGTTTCGGCCGCCGCCAGCATTATCGGCGGTCACCGACAGCCGCCTCCACCTCCACCTCATCTTCCACTATAACCTTAAGTGATCATTTTATCAGGGGGTAAATAATAGTTTATTTATCTATAAATGATCATTTTACCAGGGGATAAGTAATAGTTTATATATGAAATTATAAAATATAAAGGAAAATGGCAAAAGGATGGTCAGAATATAAAGAGGCATAAATAAGGATTAAGAGATGTGTTCTTTGTGCCCCTACAAAAAAAAAATACAAGAATAGTCCGATGATATAACTACAGTCAGATTTACTTAAACGATTACACCAATTAAAACAAGAAATTTGGAATCTTAAACAAGCCCCTTGCCTTTGTTGATTCCAAAACTTTCTGCTCCTGAGATGTATGCTATAGTCAGCTAAGTAGCTCAGTGAGTTCATGATTTATGTGCAACCATAATACATACACACATTGACCATATAAAAACCAATAACAAAGTGTCATGCAAAATATATGCAACCCCAATGAGATCTCTTAACTCCACTCCATTAGGTAGAGACCTGCCATGTCACAGGCTTCCCTGGACGTATAGGTTCACAAAGAACTAACCGTCCATTTCGTGTTGTGCCTCCCCAAGATGACATATCGAGCCAATATCCCATACCCTGGATAATGTACCATAGGCACATGTTACCCCATCCCCAAACCATATGCATGCGATTTATAATTAATAATCATAAAATATTTAACATGCTTGCGCCATAAATTACAACATCATATTCATGAAATCACAAATTAATAATAACATGCAATAATAACCTCATCAAGTATATATATATATATATATATATATATATATATATATATATATATAAAAATTCACACACCATATGTAAAAATAATATGTACATATGTAAACATCCCAATGAAATCTTGTAAAAAACTTACCTAAATAGCTCCACTTATCTAAACTTTGTCCGTGAATAATACCCTATAACACATAATTACATTTCATTAATGAGTGTTTTGACTTTTCCCAAAAAGTCATCCCAAAAGTCAAACAGGTCAACCCTGGGGTTGGCATGGTCAGCGGGTCAACCCCAAGGATAGCTCGTCGCCATGTACCCCCCAGATAGAATATTTCACGTCCAAAATATATAACAACGTAATAACCCCAACCTTAATTATATACGATTCTCATTTTAAAAACGTGCGATCCCACAATTATCTAATCACAACTCCCGAAAATAAGTTATTGAATTATTTCTTACAATTTAAATGTGGGAACTCAATTACTTAATATCATTTATAATTTGATGTCCAAATCTTGACCAACTTAATCGAAACATACCGATTTATTTCGACTAATCCAAGTAAATAAATGAGTCTCGAATCTCTTTTTAATAAATACCGATTTTATCAAAATGACTCGAGTCCAACACAACTCGATCAAAACAAGTCGGGCTTGGCCCAAAACCTGGTCCGACGCCGACCGACTCAACTTGATGCCCGACACAACCCGGTCGCACCCTTGGTGCGACTGTCGTGAACGAGCCTAGTTTGGGGTCGTTTCTCGACCGTTTTCCACCAAAATATTTAATTTTCTTTATAAACAGTCCCAACCCATACCCAATTTTACAGCCCCTATGGTTCATTATTAAACTCGTATTTTGAGTTTTTGTACCTGAATCTCGTTGAGTCGTCGCCATAGTAGCTTCTAGGTCAAACCACTGGACGTACATGCCACCATAGCCCATGAAACTTTTATCAATGGAAAGGTATTGAAAAATGAAACCAGCTACATATTATACATCAATTTTGGTTGAGTATTTTACCTCTAATCGTTGTTTTTGTGTGGAATGACCCTATACCGCTCCAAACTCGACATCTCTCTCTTTTTTTTTTTGATGAAATCCCGAAATTTCAAACAAGTTTACTTCCTTACACCCTTAGGAACGACTCCACTAAGTTTCAACCAAAAATTCCAACTTATAGGACGTCAAATCTATCCTTAAATCCCAAAAATGTGATTTGGGAATGATTTTCAAAAATCTCAACCATTTCCAAATCAATCTTCTTCATTTGGCAGAACTAGTCCTTCTAGTTTTTTTCTTGCATTTTCGTCTCAAATAAATTAAATACAAAATGTTTCATTTCCTTTTTTTATTGCAATAAAATCATATTTTTCTAATATCAACACTTTA